GCACCCGCCTTGGCCGCGAGCCCTTTCAACTGTGCCAGGGCCGCTGGGATCGCCGTCTCCACGTGCAAACGCCTGCGAGCTGCCATCATCTCCCACATGACGGCCCCGATGCGGCGCCATCGAGCCGAGACTGGGCAGCCCTTGGGGTGCGGTCCCCCACCTGGCAGCAGCACGTCCCTCTCCACGAACTTCGGGTCCGCCGCGCGCCCGACGTACAGGTGGGCGTCCGTCGGCGGCACGTGGTACAGGCCGAGCAAGTCGGCCTCCATCAACTTGGCAAACTCGCCGTAGAGCAAGTCCACCATCCCCTGCGGCTCCAGCGCCGCCACGTCCTGCGTCGCAGTAGCTGCGCCTCCGCTGGGTGCCCGATGCGACGACGCTGAGCCAGCGGGTTCACCTGTCGGCCTCCGAGGGCCCCTAGGATTCCCCACATACTTAGCGTCAGCTATCGGGTTCAGCTCTCCCTGCTGGCGTCGCTCCTCTGATGGTGGTGCCGATGACGGATCAGAATCCTCACAGATGCGGGGAAGAGCCTCCTCCTTCGTTACGTCCACCTCGACTGGGTCCTCCACCGTGTCGCCGTACAGGCCGAGCACTGCGTCCGCCCAGTCCTCGTCGTAACCAGCCTTGAAGTGCTTGAGCGACTCCGTGTGGGCGCTGACGGGCAACTGGTAGCCTGGCCCCAAGACACTGTCGAGCCTCCAGCCAGGCGCCGACGGCATGCCCGTCGCCTCCGCTCCTGGGAGCCTCGCACTCGCAGCACCTGAGGTAGCCCCAGTCGCGGAACATGTGGCGCCCTCTGCCCTAGCCACCGCGCTGGAGTCTGCGACCCCAGCGGATAAGGCGTCGGGTGAGTCTGGCGGCCGCGAAGGAGTTACCGAACTCCCAGTCCAAGCCTCAGCAGGACTCGAGGTGGTCTCCGCAGCCCCAGGCCTCTGCACGGCTACCCCCAACCTGGCCAGCACCGCCCGCGCCAGCCCCAGAACAGGCGCCCAGTCTGGCGGCTCGCGCCGTGGGCCCACAGGCCGCTGCGCTGGCAGCGTGCGCGCCGCTTTGTGCACCAGCCTGCGCTCGGGGAGCCCCCTCACGCTCAGCTGCAGGCGCACGGGCCAGTGGGGCGCCAAGGTCGTGTCCAGCCTGCTGCAGCCCTTGACCATGCCGCCCAGGCCGCTCGACACCACGAAGTAGTCGATCTCCGAGCCCGAGCCGACGCGACAGGTCGGCACGCCCGGCGCCACCACCATGCCGTCGACCTCCTGGGGCCAGCCCCACGCCTCCAGCTCCTGGGGCTTGCAGTTCCAGTCGCCGCCGATGACGTAGGGCACCTGCACGTAGGCCAAGTACTCGCCCAGCTGCCCCAGGATGAGCTTCGACTCCGCGTCGAGGCCCTTGGCAGCCACCAGGTACACCGACACCGCCAGGAAGCCGCCAGGCACTCCGCAGTTGACCCAGCGCGCGATCACGCGGTCCTTGGGCAACTTGGGCCCCTTGGGAGCCTGGCCCATGCCGATGTGGGCTCGGACGCCGACGCCCACACCGCTGGAGAGGCCGCCCTTGTCGGTGCGCACCGACTCGTTGAAGGCCACCTTCCAGCCCTCTCGGCGGCAGGCCTGCTCGACCTCGGCCGCCGCTCCTGGGGCCACGCCCACCTCCTGTAGGAAGACCACGTCGGCCGTGGCGTCCTGCTGCAGCCATCGCAACATGCTGCCGCGCGCCGTGGTGTTGGCCGTGTCCAGCCGCCAGGCGCCAACCTCACGCCTGGTCAGCGCCAGCCGCCGCCTGGCCTCCACCGTCGCCGCGGGCGCGCTTGGCCTCGGGGAGGTCGATGCCGACGGCCTGGCACGCCTCCTCGAACTTGCGGCGGCTCTCGCCCTCGAGCTTGTCCACCTGGTCGATGAAGGCGTGGCCGCTCCCCTCTTCTGCTGCTGCCGCACCAGCGGCCTGGCCCCGCTCGCCGTCTGCACCAGCATCAGCAGCAGCACCAGCAGCAGGCGCGTCGCCCGTGCCCATGGGCTCGTCCTCGGCCGCCTTGCACTCAGCTGACGCCAGCTCGGCACGGATGGCATCGACCTTGCGCTGCAGGGCGCCTCGCGCGGCCTCGATGGTCCCTGCGTCGGCTCCATAGCCGTCGAGCGAGCCCAGCGCCTCCAGGCTGGTGACCGCCTTGGCCAGCTCAGCCGCGCGGGCCGAGCTGCAGCCAGGCGGCAGCCCCGTCTTCTCCATCTGCTTGGCCAGCTCCAGCTGCTCGCGGCCCTCGGTCTGGCGCTTGCGGGCCACGTCCAGCGCCACCGTCGCCTCGTCCAGTGCGGCCTTCGCGAGCCGCACTCGCTCGGTGGCCTCGACGTGCTCCGCCGCCCTCGCCGCCGCCTGCTTGTCCAGCTTCTGCAAACGCCAGATGCAGTTCTGCAGGACGTCGGAGTAGGTCTTCGGCTTGGGCGCGCGCGGCGCCTCCTTGGGCGGGGCCAGCTTGGCACGGTCCTCCTCGCCCACGACCACGCCCTTGGACGCCAGGTGCTCCAGGAAGGAGGCGACGTCCGCTTCGCTGAAGCCTGTGCTGGGCGGGGCCTGAGCAGACGCCTCAGCGCTGGCCGCGGCGTCGCCAGTCGGGACACGAGCGTCCTTGCCGACGGCCTTGGCCTTGCCCTTGCCCTTGCCCTTGCTTCCGCCAGCTGGCTGCGCACTCGGCTGCACGCCGCCAGCGTTGGCCAACGCCAGCTGGCGCACCGAGAGCGGCGCCGCTCGCCCACAGGTGCGGCACGCCAGCCTGCTGGCCCAGTTCCCATCGGTGCCGCAGGCGCAGCCCCAGGCCGGCTTGCGGGGTCCCGGCAGGACGACGGCCGCCGAGGGCGGCGGGCGCTGCCAGGGCGCGGGCGTCGGCCCTGCGCCCGCGTTGCGAAACCCGCGAGCGCCGCCGCCGCCGCCGCCGCCGCCTCCCCACGCTGCGAGGCGCGGCGCATGCTGCGGCGCCCCGCTGGGAGCCATCGCGGAAGCCCAAATGTGTACGGAATGATTCCCTCTCTCGCGGCCAGATTGGCACGCACGAACGCGCCGCTCTGAAGTACGTTCGTGCAAGACCCCCCCTCCCTCAGGAAGAGCCCAGAACGGCTCTCCTCCTCCTCCTCCTCCTCCTCCTCCTCCTCCTCCTCCTCCTCCTCCTCCTCCTCCTCCTCATATTCCACGCTCTCTCCCTCTTCCCTTTCTCCCACCTCCTCTTCCTTCTGAAGAGACCACGCCAATTACACGTTGCAGGCGGGCATCGATGGTTCGCGGTGGACATGTGATATGAAACGGCCAAAACACGAGGACCGAACAATCTTGAGATGATCGATGCTGGTATTGGCCGTCGTCCTCGCTAGCGACCCGCACGCGACCCGCCCACGACCCGCCCACGACCAGCCCGCAGTCCGCCCGCGATGCACATGGGACCCGCCCGTGACAGGCCCCCAACCCACCCGCGACCCCCTCGCGACCCACGTTCGCCCCACCCACATTGCGATCACAACAAACAGCGGGGAATGAGGCCGGCCCGTTGTGTGGCGTTTAACCCCTACCCGCCCCCTCACCCTTGTCCGCAAATGTGGGAGCTGTGGTAGCTATGTGGATCTCAATATGCAAAGGCATGGGGCTAGTCGTAGACCGTCAGCTCCAACAAATTCGCTAGGATCGCAGCGCGTCCCCGTGTGCTATCGGCCATCGGAGAACAAGATACTCCGGTGGGGGGACCTGCTGACAGGCAAATTTCTTATCCGATGCGGCTGCTGAGCTGACAGAGAAGAAAGCTTGAACACTTTGCCAACACATGTCCACACTCAGACATGAGGCTGAGCACGCCGAGATGAGCGTGGAAAGAACGGTGACCATGCCCACAAACAAGTGTGGCCCCCAACCGACAGCGTCCAGTGATGGGCAGGCGACGGCTGTCCCAAACGGACGGCGCCCGCTGAGACATCGGCAGCGGACCCTGCTCAGCGTTGACACCCCGATTCCTTCCGTACCCATGTATGGTCCTCCCGAGGGGCGGGGCAAGGACCCCACCGTCGCACATGGCCACGGAATCACACACCATGTGCGAAAAGATAGCGGCTCCTCCTCTAAGACGACGCGAAGATCGGGACAACATCGGATCGGGATAACTCGAAATCTCTGAGAATCGGCGGGTTTGGAAGATGCATTGGGCGCCGCGGCCGCTCCAGAGCGTTCCGGAACGCTCTGAGAGCGCTCCGGAACGCTCTGGAGCGATTTATCCCGATCCTAGCCCTGTTTTATCCTCCGCCTCCCCCTCCGCCGCAGTGTCCGCCAGAATCTTCATCATCAACCTCAACCCTGGAGATCCCCAAGGACCCCAGGCCACCGAGAAGCCTCCAGTGACCACAGACGAGGCTCTGACGACGACATCCGGTATGGCCAACCTCTTGCCGCACTCTCCGCTGCACTTTCCGCTGCACCCCCCGCGGCCGAGATGAGAGCGTCAACGACTGCACAACACAAACCTCCGGAGGGCTGCGCAGAATTCCTGTTTCGGCGCTGGACGACCCTTGGCGACGATTCTGGCGCCGCCCCTGGAGCGATTCTCGCGCCAGCGTCAGGTTGGGCGTGTCATCCTACAGGCGGATGTTGGACGGAAATAATTCTCAAACATATTCAAAAAAAACGTCCCCATCCTATCTTCATTATTTTTGGATATTCCTCTTGTAGAAGGACAGGCCCGACTCAACGCCACCGGGGTCCCCGGTGGCCGCGCCGCCCCACGACGCCCGGGCGGACCTCGGCAGGCTCATCTTGTGCAGCGTCATGGAACGGGCCCTGGGACACACCAATACATAGACACAAATCACACGATTCCCCATACTTCCCAGTATTTTCTGGGTTTTGTCTCCCCCCCACTCCCCGTCTTTTCCCATCTTTTCCTGGGGAACCGACGATCCATTGCGTCTGTGTGCTTCTTCCCCCTCCCGAGTCTCGGCTCCTCGAGCCCCTCCTGCGGCGCCCCTACACTGGACCTCTGTAGGCGCGCCCTCCACGTGGAGCTCGGACGCCACGCCAGTGGACGACCGTTCGGCTCGCGTGGCGCCCCACCGGCGCAGGGCGCCTCCTTACGGGCAGGAGGCAGGCGGGGCGGAGGCGAGCGGGCGCGGGAGCTGGACGGAGGGTGCGAGAGAAGGTATAGATGCCCCCCGCGTGACCCCCATGCGCCCTTGCATGCCGCACCGGGGCCATCCTCCCCTCGCTCCAGGCATGGGCCGCGCAGACCTCCCCGAGGCCCCGCGGGCTTCCCGATGTACATCGCCACTCCGAGTCCGGCCGCGGCGACGATGGTCGTGACAGAGGCCCCGGGCAGGCATGCAGGATCGAGCCACGGGACACGCGGCGAGCTCGGAGCATCCCAGGGCGAAGGCTGCCTGCTGTCAGTCCAGAAGGGCCCCACGGAGCCACCCACCACCTCTCCAGATCCCTCCCCGCGTGCCCCAGCAGAGGGCGGCTCGGGAAGAGGAGGCGTCCGAATGGCCGAGACCTCCCCGGGGGCGGGGCCCGCGCCGTGCGAGTCACGGCGTCGGCGGCCTGACACCGAAGTGCTCCCCCACGGCCCCCTCTTGGCGGCGCGCACGCAGGGGGTATGGGGGAGGGGGGGAAGGCCTCCTGGAAGGAGGCTGCTTCTCAGAGGGCCCCGGCCCTGCAGCTGTGCAGGGGGCCCGAGCCCTCTGAGACGCGGGGGTCCCCCCTCCTCGGCGCGTGGCCGACCCTCCTCCTCCAGCACCTCCTCACCGAGGCGCGCGACGAAGATGGGTTGCTTTTCTTTCCACTGCGCGGCCCCGAGGAGGTCCCGGCCACCTCCCCAGGGGGGACTTTTCGAACCCGATTAAGGGTCGAATGCCCCGAGGCCCGGCCATGCGGCCCCAGAGGCCGACGTCGAGGAACCAAAGAGTGAGGTGGTCAGAGACCTGGGCCCCCTCCACATTGGGGCACCGCTTGCTGCAGAGTCCCTCGCCCCGGTATGCCCCGACAGGGGGTGGAATGGCGGGGATCCACTTGAGCTTCGCGAGCGGCTCTTCTTCTTCTTCTTTTTCTCCTTCTTTTCCTTTTTACTCTTCTCCTTCTTCGACTTTTTCCCTGGCGGTGGCGCCAGCGGGGCAACGACCAACAACTCGTTTCCTCCTCCTCCTCCTGCTCCTCCTCCTGCTCCTGCTCCTCCGCCTCCTCGTCATCGATCGTCGATCGTCGATCGTCGATCCTCCTGGTTCTCAACCTTCTCCTTTCCATCTCCTCCTCGTCTCCTTGGTCCTCCGCCGACACGTGTGACCATGTGAACTCAATCCCCTCCATGCAGCATTTGGCTTGGACATTGGCCCCCCGCGGTCCAACCCAGACATCGGCAATGGGGCACTCTTCTCTCACAGACTGATGGCGCTCCAGAAATTCCACGTACACCAACGACCAAACAATTGATCGACAATATGTGCCGACCCGAAAACAGCATCGGCGCTCTAGCAACCCTCGAGTCCACGTTCAAATAGGCTTACAAGCCCATCAAATACATCTTCTGCGTCATCGAAGAGAAGATGGGATCTTCTCGTCGAGGACGCTCTGCCAGCGTGCCAGCCGGCAACGATCTGATCCTGGCCGGCTGGCAACACACACCTCCGCGCCTGAGCGGCTCCAGTAGAGCTGCCCGTGACATGGCCGAACACATGTTCAACAACCAGAGGGGTCCCGGCAACTCCGAGATGGTCTGTTCTGCTCAAGAGCGGCAGCATAGCGGTGTGGCGCACACGAGGCCAACGACGATTAGATATCACGGAGTTCTGCTCAACGACAGCGTACGCGTACAGCGATAGTGTGAAACATGTCTCGACAACGCCTGGCCTCAAGCTCGTAGATCCTATAACTAAGCGGCTTGATAACTAGGCACGCTGCCATTCTGCAAATGATCCAGGCTCGGGTTCATGAAGTGAAGCTCATGAACCCGACCATCAAGATCCACCTCGCCAGGTACAGTGGAGGCCAGTCCACAATAAACCTGCCACAAGAAACTCGACCCTGACACCGAAAGGGCTCCATCGATCTTTGGTGTGGGAACGTCACGCTTTACATAGCAACACCATCGGAAACCCTGGATCGGGAGCGGCCAGGAGGGGGGTGTCCAAGAGGGGGGGTGCAAATCATGAGCGGCATGTGCGCGGCCCAGCGGGGGGGCGGCCCAGCGGGGGGGCCAGGGACGTAATGAAACAAGAAGAGGCGCCATGAAATCTTGGGGAATATCCTGGCCCCCGCCATTATATCCACCCCCCCTTAGTCATCACCCCCCTCTTTGCCGCCCCCGACTGGAGGCGAGCAGGGTGTTTCTTGGCATGGGTCTCCACTGTAGATGTGCGCTCCACCGCTTCCTGCCCCACCCCCAGCGCTGCTCCATCTGTCCCCCCTGGGCTGCCGGCCCCGCACCGTCCCCCATGGGCCTCCTCGGGAGCCTCCTCGGGGCGTCGAACGGCGGCGGCAATGGGCGTCTCAAAATCTGCCGAGGATCGACTGGTCGATCCCCGACTGGGAAAAAATCGTTCGGTCGACGGCGGCGGGGATCCGGCCGTGGCCGCGAGGGTCCCCGCAGGAGGCTCTATGGGGCGACGACGAGACGACAGCGACCCGCCCTCTCGTCCGACGTCGGTCCTCGCGGGGCCTCGACCCCTTCCCCGGGGACCAGAAATGGCACGGCAGGCCCGAGCCGCGACGACCCCGGCGCTGACTTTTCTGCTGCCGCGTGGATCTTTCAGCCTGGCACGATCGGCGGCTCTTCGATCGCCCGATCGTTCCATGTACACCATGCGAAATGCTTAAGAAATCATGGGTTAAGAAACTCAGAGTCTCAGAATTTGAATAAAAAACCCAGAACTTCTATCAAAATCTTAAGATTTACATTGAAACATTAAGAATAATCGAGACTCTCGCCGAAAACGTAAGTTTTCTTAAGCATCGCCTAGGGTGTAGGCCGACTCTGGGTCGCTGGCGGCGGTCGGCCTCGAACGCCCCCGGCGGGGCCGCCGCTGGTCAGCACGGCGCGAACCTGCCGTGCATCCCCGAGCCTCGTCTTGACGGGCCCTTGGGGCCCGGGGGACGGCACGCGGAGGCCGCGGTCGACGACAAACCTGAAGGGGAACTGGAACACACAAATAAATACACACAAATAAAAATATCCCCCATATTTTCCCATATTTTCTGGGTTTTCGTCTTCCCCCCCACTTCCCATATTTTCCCATATTTTCCTGGGGATCACCGATTAATTGTGTCTGTGTGTTTTTTCTCCTCCTGAAAACCGACCGTCGCGACGCTTGCTGCGTCGCCCGGGGCCTCCGCCACCGGCCTGGGACAGGTGCCTGTCCCAGTGTTGGGCATCGCCTCCTCACGATGGCGATCTCAGGGTTTCCCTCCGCTTCTGAGGGTGCACCCCGAAGATTGCCATCGCCTTCCGGCGTGCCAATCTTAGGGATAGGGATCAGCTCGAGGCTGGGAACTTCGGGCAGGACGCGTCGACGCCGCCGACAGCCCCGAGGCCCCAGCAGTCCGTCTCTCGGCCCGTCCCCGCGGGGGCCGGGGCAGCCCTCTCCGCCCCGGGTGTCCAGTCGTGAGGTGGCCCCCCGACCGCTTCGAAGCGGCCCCCCCGTCGGGGCGGCACATCAGCGGGAGCAACATATACATCGAGGTCGGCCCCGTGAGCCTCGGCCGAGGAGCGAGCGAGAGAGCGAGGATGAGCGAGGAGGACGACGACGAGGAGCGAGCAGCGACGCCGACGAGGCGCGAGGAGCACGGAGCGGCGACGAGGAGCAGCGAGGGCGGCGGCGAGGAGCGAGGAGGAGAGGCGAGGAGGACGACGACGACGCGCGAGCGAGCGAGCGGGGAGGAGCGAGGAGCGCGCGGGCGAGAGGAGTGCCACGACGGCGGGGGGGGATCGAGGAGCGGGGGCGCGAGAGCGGGCGTCCGCCTGCTTCCACTGTACGGCGGTCGGGCGGCACGAGGGGAGGGAGGCGCAGCCCTGGCTGGGGGCAAGAGCGTGCGAAGGATCTCGAGATCGAGCGAGGAGGCTCGAGGAGGGCCGAGGAGAGCCGAGGAGGATCGAGGAAGTTAAAACAAAGCGCAGGGCGATCGTGCAGGATCGAGGAGCAGCGGGGCGGATCGGGGAGGATGGAGGAGGAAGGAGCGGGATGTGGAGGAGGATCGAGGAGGACCGATCGAGGATTGATAGATCCTCGGCGGGGAGGTGCAGCGCAGCGCTGCGCGCCGCGAAGCGCGCGCGTCGTGGGCCGCGCTGCCGAGGTGTTCACGGGCGGCGACGACGGCGTCGATCGGCGCCTCCGAGGGGTGTGGCTTGCCAGCGCCGGATAGGCAGAGGCATCTCGTCACGTGATGCGAGGTCCCAGTCCCCCAGGATCCTCCTCCTCTTCCTCCCCATTCTCCTCCTCCATCTCCTCCTCCTCCTCCTCCTCCTTCTCCTCCTCCCTCCTCCTCCTCCTCCTCCTCCTCCTCCTCCTCCTCCTCCTCGCCCTCTAGACGAGCGCGCTCCCCTACTCGGAGAGTAACTACTCGCAAAGGGCCTGGATCCGCCGCTGGGGATTTACGATGCTGGTGTCGGTGACAACCTGTCTAGGCCTTAGTGGTCCCTGGAAACGACAGGGCCGTTTTTTTACCGGTACCGTTTTGCCGTTTTGTCGCCGGTTCCAACGCCGTTTTTTTACCGGTTCCGTCGTCTTTTTTTGACCGGTTCCGTCTCCACTTCCAATCCTGGAGCCGTTTTTTTGCCGCTTCCGGTCGCCGTGTTTTGGCCGTTTCCATGTTCAAGGGACATTCCTTGTGGGAACGGTGAAAAAACGGCCCTGCCGTTTCCGGGGCCCGCAAAGGTCTAGGCCTGCGATGAAAAGATACCGCGCGGCCAGCCCCCCCGAGGGTTTGGAGTCCCGAAACGGTGCGGTGACAGACCGTGCGGTGACCTCGAAATCCCCCAAGACCTCACCGCACGGTCCGTCACCGCACGGTCTTGGGACTCCAAAGGCCCCTGTCGCCCGAGACATCCTCGGAGAACGACCCGAGTCCCAAAACCGTACGGTGACCCCGAATCCCCACCGACTCACCGCACGGTGTGGTCACCACCCCGTTTGGGGGCCCCCCCGAGGGGCGGGCAGCACACGCGGCCCCACCGGGAGAGCCCCGCCGCCGATGGGGCGGGCTGCCGGCTCCCCCCGGCCGAGGCCCGGCACTCTGAATCTCTCGGGATCTCGGCCAG